ACAGGCTACACATTACAATCCCTTTGAACATAAATTGGATCCAACAGGTTTAGACAGACTTATGACCAAAAACCTTAAGTTAGACACACCATAAATTTACTATTCACTATAATTTGACAAATGTCTTTACAATGACAAAAAATAAACTATGAAATTAACAAAAATAATAAACAGCTATTTTGTAAATCACATTACAATTCTCCTCTATAGATCATAATACTTATCAAGGACAATCCTTAAAAATACTGAATAATATATATATAATATATATTTATATCGTAATGTTAGTATATATTAATATACAACGTTGTGTTTCTCATTAATTACAAAATATATAACTGCAAGAGATATTGTAATATTATCTTTGACTCGTTTTTCATGGAATTAAAATGAGATCTAAGGCGCCTTCTATTTATTCTGACAGCAGCTGTCTGAACAGTGGTCTGACCCAAGATGGCCGCCCTCTAGGCACGTCGGCCTCGCTGCTGACGGCGTCCAATGAGGCGTCTTCTCTCCTGCTGGGGCCATGGTGTTATGGAAAGCTTTTCCTTTTATAAATTAATAATTTGAACACATAATGCCTTTTCTATTTATTCCGCTTTTTAGCTGGCAAATGACTGACCTTCAAAATTTAAATGTGATTGAAAAGTTTTCGGTTGTAGTTTCAATGATGAATAAATGTTAAGAACATCCCAAATTGTTATCTATTTAACAGTAATAAAAACGTTGACAAAATACTCATAACATTTAACTTAAACCAAACTATTAAATATTACAAAACTTCTCGTGATTAATAACAAGAATCTAATGTTTTTAAATATATTGTCTATTTAACACTAAGCTTTTAGTAATTAATTCTCTTGAGTGATTTTTTAAATAAAATATACAATTATAATATATTTGTATGATTATAAAATACTTCCCGCAGTATGCTAACGTTGAAGGTGGATTTAATTGACTTGTACAACAAATATATTTAAATTATAATGTAGAAATAGACAATTAATGGTGGACTACTTTCATTGGTGGAAGGACTCCGCGATACGTGACTGGTTTAACAGTTGATGTAGGCGGAAGGATTCTTTACCAGCCGAGTAGCCAGCATAGACGACATTATAAACGGACGCCTCACTGGATGATGGCCGACGTGCCCAGAGGGCTGCCATCTTGGATCGCACATCTTTGTTAAATCACATTACAACGATTTTTCTCTTTAGATCATAATACTCACGACCAAAGAACAATCCCTAAAAATACTGCTTAATCATAATAATATACTTTATAAATATATGTAAAACATAATCTTGTAATATATTAAAATAAAATCTTATATTAAGCCTTCTTTGCAACATATATAACTTTGTATACATCTCATCCAGTTTAAATACTTTTTAATCTGAATAAATATGCGTAATCTAACTGAAGGGTGATTTTAGAATTTGTTTTGGTCTTTTAAGGGGTTGTGACATTTAAGAGATTATTGTGATATCTATGACTCGTCTTCCATGGGATTAAGATGAGATCTAAGGAGTCTCCTATTCATTCCGACGACAGCTGTCTGAACTGTGGTCCGATCCAAGATGGCGACCCTCTGGGCACGTTGGCCTCGCTGGCCGACAGCGTCCATTGAGACCTCTTCCGTATAAAATATCTATGGTAGCCAGCTTGATATGTGTTGAACTGAGTAGTGCATGACTGGACCTTTTAAATTCTGAATAGCGCAGCTATCTCTCCACCTGCAGTTCTTTGTCCTACCACCAGAGGGCAGACAAACCAATGGGATCTTATGTGTATAAGTATTTTACAGAAGACTGAACCTCTTTGTTTTCACCATTCTATAGAAGTATGTATCAAATTATGTAAAATATTTTCTATCAATATTTATAAAGAATAAAAATCCTAAATTTTTTTTGTTCTTGGTGTTAAAACAAGACATTACAGAACTTGAATAGCAAGCATGTAGATTTTATTTTCATGGATAACTGGTTGATTTTTTTTCTTTCCACCACATAAAACCTTTGATACGGAGGCATTACTGGTGATTAAAAAAAAGAGCGAATGGGAGGAGGCAGTCAAAGAATCTGAAGGAAAAGTAAATTTTCAAAGATGTCAGTTAAGCCTCTAATCATCCAAAAATAACCAACCTTTCAGTTTTATGGAGCAGTGAGATTTAATCCTCGTGAACAATTCTAGACTAAAGTTCCTTCCAATCATACCAATGTTATCTGACGTTAGAAAAAAAAACAAAAAAAAAACACCTTGACTGTGACCTTTGCCAACATCTTTGCTGCAAATTCCTCAGAGCTCCTCAGATGGGTGAGTGAAGCACAACGAGACAAACGGCCTGTTTACAGAGTTCTGCTGCAGGCCGGACGGGAAACAGACAAAATAATCCAAAGAACCAAAAGCCCTTCACAGATGAACAACAAATGATAAAAACTGGAATGTTTCCTGGCTTTCTAGACTCTTCTGACCTTCATCTAGACGTTTTGGTTTTTTAGCAGAGCCAGCACACCTTTTTAATGATAAAAACACATGGATAAGAGTCCCTCTGGAGTCAACCCGACGACACATTGACCTGAAGCATGTTCAGATAAGTCTGATGCAAACTTTTATTATTGCTGCTTCTTCATGGCACGGATAATGGAAACAGTCCATCATGTTTAATATGATCTGTGCTGCCATGCAAGCCGACTACAGTACTGCTATATTAGCTTATATTACACACAGCGACATGTTGGAGAACAGAGTGGGTTGCTGTGGAAACATCCACAGCTGGGTTACACTTAGTGAGTACATACAAAAAGGTTTGATAATGTAGGAACATTAGCAGGAAGTATACGGACAATTAAAAAAAACATTCTCTGGGCTTCACAAATGTTAGGAACTGAAAAGGGGCCAAACGTGATGTTTGAAATAATTTAAACATGTCTGACATTCATTTTTTTTCAGTTTTTATGTACAGTATATCGATATTTGTATAGAAGTAGTGCTTAATTTCTAGAAGTACAAATGGAAACAGAAGGGCTGCATTCAGTGAATGCTGTGCAAATAACATTTTTTTTTTTACATCAAATCTTAAACCTTTCTGCTCCAACAAGCACTCTGCACCCCAAAATATTCTCTACAAACAAACAAAAACTCAACTTTTCATCTCACTCACAGTCTCCTTTTCAAATGCCAGCGGTTCACAGGGAAACTCGCTGGATGCTCTCGTTCTCATTTGACCTGCCAGCAGGAAATCGAACTTCCACCCTCGCTTTTTGCGCCGACAGCAGTGTTTTCACTACCCAGAATGCTCTCTGTCTCTGTGAGCTGATCTCCATTGCTGTTTGCAGCCAACGTGCTTCTGGATCCAGAAATATTGACGTGAATCAAACAGAAAAAAATCAAGGATAAAAAGGTGATGGAGGAACTAGTGAAGGATTATTTTTCCTGTGAAGCTGCCTTTGGGTGCTGTTGTCTTTAAAGCAGCTGGGTCATCTGGTTCTGGATGCTCAGAAGCTTCGGTCCATTTACTGACACACAGAAAACAACACGCGTGAACCAAAGATGGCGGAGTAAAACGTCACTTTCAGGATGGGATGGGGCAGAAATGATAACAGATGGCGTGAAGCTTCAGTCTCTGAGCTGTCCCATCAGATTCCTCAGCAAACTTTGACACAACAAACTTTTGTTTCCTCATGGGAGGAAACGTGGAAATCAACACGGGTGTTAAACGAGGCCTGATGATGAAGACGAGGAACACTGTGATGTTAAAAGCTGATGTTGGGTCAGACTGAGGCGGCGTCTGGTTGGACCATCGGAGCTCCTGCAGCCACGTCATGGAAAACAGTTTGAGTTTCCTCTGAACTGATCGCTTAGAATTAAAACGAGCAAATTTAGTCCCACAGATTAGTTTATTAATCTGTTCCCTCAGGTTTAGTTCATGAGTTCGCCTTCTAACAAACATCTTCATGATGTGACTGCAGCAAACCCTGGAGGCGGGAAGTTGCTTTGATCCGATCACTGCTGCCATTCCAGGGTTATTTCACAATGTTCCTGACAGGTGTGGTGATCTGCAGGTGGCGCCGCTACAGTGACGGCGGCTGATGACGTGTGCGATGATAGCGGTTATCTGAGTAAAGTCTAGATGGACTTGGAGGAATCCTGTTTGCTGATGAGGACCTCCAGGAGGCGGAGCTTGGCCTTGATCCTCTTGTACTCCCTGTATTTCTCCAGCATCGGCACCCGGTCCTCTTTCTGAACATTCCTGCGAGAAAGGAAGGAGGGATGGAGGGGGTTAGTCCGTTCATATGCGAAGGATGAAGATGTGTCTCTGTTACTTCCTGCTTTCTCAGCTGTGGTAAATCTTGTAGATATTTGCAGTGAACCCTGATCTACAGTCACTATAAACAGCAGGAGACGTTTAAATGAGCCAAGCTTACCTTCCATTATGCTGATAAAAATCCTCTTCAAACTCTCGGATGGTCTTTCTTAGTTTCTTCTTCTCTGATCTGGCCTTCCACAGCTGTTCCAGCAGCTCTGGCCTAGAGGATCATGGGAAATGCAGTTACACGTGTTGGAAATAGACCACTTTTTAAATCCCTGATTTAGACGTTTTAATCGGAAATGGAAATGCTCAGTGACTCATCAGAGACTCTGCAGGACGCCGTCTCTGATCCCTGTTGTTAAACCAGAGGGAATGAAATGACAGCTTTGCTTCTCTCCAGGAAGTAAAATTAAGCTGCTGCATTTTTTTTTTCAAATTAATTATTCTGACTAATCTCCATCATAATCCAAGGTTCATTAATAAACCAAAACACCAAGGCTGGATTTCTGACCAGCCTGTTTAAACCCACTAACTTCCCACTATTGCTTCTCCATCCAATCGGGAATCATTTCCTCGTCGTCCCTTTGAATCCGGGCCTCGGTTCAGTAGAACCTGTGTTCTTGCTCAGCTGGTGCTCAGGAATCTACTGAGCCTGCTGGTTCCTAAGCTGCTCTGAACCTCTCCACTGGTTTCCATTCATCTAACAGTTATTATTATTTTTTATTATTACTCCTATTTGAATGTTTTCATTATTTTAAACACTGAATCCAGAACAAATGATGCTAATTACGGCTTCCAGAAACGATTCGATTCTGTTACCGAACCATCACAGTTGCAGCTCATCCATTTTAGTCTCAACAGGAAATGATCTGATTGGTTCTGACAGAAGCGGACTCGGCCATGCCTGCGTGTGGTCTTACATTGATGAGGCGTTGGAGCTGGACAGCCGCAGGTCCAGCGCCAGCCGTCCAGAACCTTCCTCCATCTTGTCTCCCAGCCCATCTGGTTGGCTCCTCACTGACCCGCCGCTCGGCGTCATGGTCTCCAGCGCCATGATGACCTCAGAGCTCTGCATCTCTCCGCCGCTGCTCTCCCCCTCCTCTTCGTCGTCTTCTTCGTCATCCCTCTCCTCCTCTTCCTCTCCACCTTTCTGCTCCTCCTCTTCCTCCTCTTTGATCTCCTCCCAGAAGTGAGCAGTTTCCCCCTCTATGATTGGCTGGAGGGTTTGGCTCCGCCTCTTACTGGAGGGGGACACCTGAGGTGGAAGAAAGACGTTGAACCATGAGCTGACGTGACATATTGACGCTTGCTGAGGCTAAATGCGGCGGACTGTTGCGTCCTCACCGTCACCGGAGTGATGCTGACTCTGGCCAGCATCTGCTTGACCAGCCGGTAGCGATCGTAGAGAGGCTTCACCACCAGACGCTCCTCCCTGGTCACCTGGAGATGGAGACACACGGCGTCATGCAGCAGCGTGTCACGACCTAAACAAGCTGAGCAGAGGGAGGAACTCACCGGTCGGCCGTGGAGGCCTTCGTAGTGCAACAGGTTCTTCTGGAGGACCATCTTCTCACAGGACAGCTGCTCTTTGGTCATCTTCTGCAGAAGAACACGTTCAAATCACAACAGTTTGGTTTTGCTGAAAATCTGGATTAATTCTGGACATTTTAACCTAAAATCTAAGAGCTGCAGAAACCTGGTTTAGTGTCGTTAAAGAAAAATTTTCTATATTCTATAAAACTGAAGGGATTGTTTCTGGGATTATTTAGGAAGCAGGATTATTGCTCTTAGACGTCAGACAATCCTTATTGTGACCGCTCACCTTGATGTCATCCGGCCAGCCATCCTCCTGCCTCTTCCCTTTGACGCAGTGCTGGATCAGCTCCAGTGTTTCTTCTTTGGTGGGGCGCGGGCCCCTGACCTCCCCCGTTACGTCATGGGAGCCCTGGTCCAGGGTGGAGCCGAAGCTCTTGGGAAGGGTGTTGCTACGAGGACGGGTCTGTGGGCCAAGCTCGCTCTCAGCACAGTGTTTGGCATCTGGAGGAGGAGGAGAAACGGACCGGCACACATGGAGATGAAGTGGTTACGGATCAGAGAACAAAACCCAGTGATAAGACGGGATTATTATAGAATATTCAGTCAGTGTTTTAACAGCTGCAGCGGAGGAGTGAGGAAAACCATCCACAGCAAAAAAAAAAAAATAAAAAATGACCAGAGAACAATCAATAAAGTGAAAACTGCTGTAGAGTCTAAATAATCAGTCAAAAGGTTGTCTGTGCTTACAGATGGGATCAAGAGGGTGATAAGTATTCACATCCCTGTTCTGTTTCACATTGAAATAGCAGAAAATACTGTTTTAAATGGTCTAAAAAGAAAAAAAAATTATCTTCAGCCTATTTGATCTGATACCTTAAAAATTCAAATGTGAACATTATTAATTTAAAAGCCTGCTCATCAGATACCAGAGTCCAGCTGAGTCTAACTGAAGTGGATCTGGTTTATTAGAAAACACAACAATCATCGTCATGAAGGAACCAGCAGCAGGTCCAGTTCAGTTTAGAGCAGAGTTAGGTTCTATACATGATTTCAAGGATCTCCCAGAGCTCCGATCCATCTGAGAGGACAGACCACCTGCAGTGGGCCCTGAGGACCTGATGGAGGTTCACCTTCCAGCAGGACGACCATCCTGACGTTCAGCCAGGGACAGAGTGGAGGGTTCAGATTGAAGCAGATTCAAGCTGGACGGGTCTAGTTAAAATCCAGACATAAACCCCACTGTGAATCTGTGAAAACTGATTTTCATAGCAGGTCTGTCTGAGCTTGAGGTGGGTAAAAAAAAAAAAAAAAAGAGAGAAAACGTGGGTCTGTGGGCGATCAAAGAGGAGGTTCAGCTCAGAGAGAGGTCCTTAGAAATGCAGGCCGTACTTTTCAGATTCAGGAGAAAAACGTTACACTGATCGATCATCTTCCTTGTCAGTTTTTTCTGACTGTGTGTCAAACAGTCTATGGACTGTGAATGTAGTGCACGGACATTTTTACACAGCTGTATTCATGCCTAAACAAGGACAATGACTCATAGACACCTTAGTACTCCCCCAATCGTATCACTCCATTCACCATCCATGCCAACATGCTTGTTCACCAGTAAACACACCACTAAAACCAAGCCACCTTGCTGAGCCTGCTGGTAGTATTGATAAGGTCTACTTACTGGGGGGTTTGTACTTACTGAGGTGAAACGGTCTAGAGCTCAGGCCTGAGGCGGGGTGGAGTGGGAGGGAGGGATTGTGATGGGGGGAGGAGGGGGATGAGGGAGCAGGGAGGCCTCTGTGTGAATGGAGCAAAGCCTGGTGCCTCAGCGTGCTTCTGGGGGAAAGGAGGTGCAGGCGTCCTGGTTGGGCCAATCAATCAATCAATCGGTCGTTGGGCAATAGAAGGAGGAAAGTGGAGAGCGGGTGCTCGAGTTATTGATTTTTCAGTTTTGATTTGAAACAGAGAAATGTTTTCAGCCACTGCATCCTCCACCAAGGAGAAGCAGGCACCTCACAGAGAGGAGTATGAGGCTCCTGGGATGAATTCAGTCCAGTGAAGCAACGCATCGTTAATCCATCAGCAGGGAGGAAGCTTTGATTGTTTAATCTGAGTTTCTCCATCCTATGACCTGTCAGGGTTTCCCCTCACTGTATTATAAGACTGGGGGGGGTTTAATCTTTTACTTTAAATATTTGTTTCATAATGTTTTATGCATTAGTAACAATAATACACCTTTTGTTTAGGATGTGAACACAATCACCAGAACCCTAAAAACCATTTTCTGTCTCCAGCTCAATATGGCACGTCACAGACGATGCTTTCTTTTTCCAAGTCAGAGCAGCTGTGGCCTTTACCTGACTGAGCGGACTGGATAACTGGCCAAGCTGCTAGAGATCAAGCTTTATTGCTAAAACTTCATCAAACTGTGAGCAAACCAGCAGATTTAACCCAACAAAGCTAAATTCACCTCATTGAGAAAGAGTGCGATATTTTTCACTATATTATATATAAACAATATTAAACTTTGTGGGTTTAACAGTAAAATGTTGCTTTTTAATTCAATATTAGCTTTTAGTTGTGGATCCTCTACCATTGCCTTCATTAAAGCTCCTTGTACAGCTGATAAAGCAGCTGATGTCGGCTTTCTCCACCAACGCACTTGTGTTAAGAAGGCAGCAGACAAAAGCAAAAGTAAACAATGAATAATGTAAATCTATACACAGACTAAGATGACAAATCTCTGTTTTTATTTTGTCGTTCCAGGTTTGATTGTCGGTAAAGCCTTTGAGCCGACATGGAGTATAAAGCAATAATGGTCGATGTAAATACCTTTGTGGGTTCCCTGATCTATTTTAAATGTGACCAGTATTACACTGCTTATTATAGGATTTGCTGGCTGATTATTTAATTAGGATGCTACTTATTTTTTTTTTATTTAAAGTGTATTTTTAGATGGCCTAAAACAAAGCCCAGATGCAACAAGACACTCAAACAACCCAGGAAAACAACGGCTGGGTTTTTGACTTTTTTAAAAACTCTATTGGGGTTTTTACGTATTGTCAATAAAATCGTATAATAACACACAACTGAATATTCGTATTTTCAGATTTTTGTGTCAACGTTTCATGTTGTCAAAATCAGAAACGAGGTGGGCCGCCGCTGGGCTACCCTGGCAGCACCGACCATCAGACTTAGCCCGTTTCCTGTGGGAAACCCGTCTGTTTTCAGTGGTTAGCATTGCTTCACCTTCCTGAACTCATCCTGCAGGTCATGGATGTGGGTTCACAAGGACGCACCGGCACACTGAAGGGTGGGAGCCACGCATGTGAGAGCCACGTCAACCCCCGAACATGTCTGCTCATGTTCGCTAGACCAGCGGAGGTTGAGGAGTGGGAGGTGGGCCAAACTGTCCCAGGAGGAGCAGGATGGCATCCAGTCCTTCCCAAACACACACACACACATATACACAAACACACCACACCTACACACACCGACTGAGGAGCGAAGAATGAGCGTCTCTACCTTTAATCTGTCTGCGGATCTTCGTCAGGTCAGTCATCCATTTGAGGACTTTAGGGTTAGCTGCCTTGTCTGCGTGAGACGGCTGCAGAAACAAACCATGAGAAGAAAGGTCGGTAGGACAGTAGATTAGAGGATTTACAGCAGCAATAAAGCGTTCTCTTCACGTCGATTCTTGGAAATCTAAACCTTAAAGACTTTAAAAAACATCACAATAACAGAGCGGGCTGCATTCAGGGCTGCCAAGAACCAGATGAAAGGTCACTCTGGGTATTTACAGCTACTTTAAATGTCAAACACTCTCTGCTAGTTGTAAACATCTCTCTTCAACTCTAATTAACCATAAAACATAAAAACTTGGAGCAGTCCTAGAAATTACGTCAATAGAACCAATTCATTGGGTGAAATGATTCACAGGCTTCTTTAAGCAAGTTAATGTCAAACAGAGAATGTTTATAATCATAAACATGTTTTTGATCTCCTGCTGTTTTAGTTCCCTTTAGCTTCACATGATCATTTACAGTCATTTTACCAACAGACTTTGGTCGATATGTAGCATCTTTAACTGATCATATCTGAGATCTTACTACATATTTTACACATTTTACTACATATTTTTCAACATTTTTCATCTGATACCCTAAGATCAAATCTGTTACAGACTTTTTATCTAAATCTTCCAGGGTGTTCTTGATTTAGCTCCATCTATCTGAGCAGCTTTCCTCTCCCAGGGCATGATGCTGCCACCACCGTGTTTCATAGTGCGTTCAGGTTAATATAAAGTGTTTTTTTTTTTTTTTAAAGTGTTCTGTGTGCAGTTTGTTCCCCTTTGTGCAGAGTACTTGCTCTTACATGTTCATATGTCCCCATTCATGGATGCTAGCAAAATGTCTCTGACCAACGCCTTGTTGTCCAGCCTGTTAGTTCAGCTGCTCCATGTTTTGGTAGATCAGTAGTTTGCGAGTGCTTAAAATTCAAGATTTTATTTTGGGGTGTCAGATAAAGAAGAGGCTGAATGTAAATGCTGGGTACACTTCTAAGTTTATTTAGATAAAGAGGGTGAATGTTATGCATTAAGACTAAAACTACAAACAATGATGTAAAGATGATTTTAAATGTTTTTATTCAGATAAGTAAAAAAAGAAAGATCTGAAATAAAGAAAAGGATGTTTCTTTACCTTGTAGTTTCTCTCCTTCTCAAACTGCTCCTCAAACTGTTTGATTTTCTTCTTCAGATGCTGAAGCTTCTTGGTGAGCTGATGCGTCACAGAATCTCCTCTCACTGCCTCTCTGGAGCCAAACGACGCCCGCCTTGGCCTGAGGAGGCAAGTTTCAATCAGCGAAAAATTGTTTGACGGGATGAGTTATTACAAAGCTGAAGCACTCAAGCAGAGAATCAAGTTAAACCAGGACCTCTGATTCTCATCGTACCGCTGCGCTTTGGAAGGCGAGCAGGCCTCTGGGTCTTGCTGGAGGAAACGCTGGGTGCTGTGCGCTCCAAAATCCAGAAAGCGACGCGCCAGAATGTGAGGGTGCGAGCGTGAGGAGGACGGGGAGTCGTCTGGTAGTCCTTCCCCCTCGTCTTCCTCGCCGTCGTGCTCCAGGCGCAGCGGCAGCAGTGGAACCATGCGACCGGCGAGCGGGGACAGCTGGGCCTCTCCGCTGTCTGTGTCGTCCTGCCAGGATTTAAAAGCTGGAACGGGGTCTGGAAAATAAAATTCAGGGAGGACATGCGTGTCAAATTTACTTCAATAATAGCAGCGGCTTGTGAAACTGGTGCAGTGAGCGAGATCTCAAAGTGTCAAAGAAATTCCTCCTCAGTGACGTTCGTCGAGTCTAAGCCCACCTATCAGGGACAGTCGGCGCTACGCTAACTAGCAAGGCCAAAGAGGGAAAAAGGAGACTGTTAAGTATCAGTAAGGGGACAAAGGAGAAGCTGCAGGCGGACTGAGACGTGGTGTTATCAGAGGACAGGCGTTCTGATTCATCTGATCAGTAAAACAGACAAGCTGTAAACCTTCCTTCCCCCATTATGGAAATCTGCAGGAAGAAAGTCTTTAACATGCAGGGATTATCACACAGATACTGGAAAACAGTTTCCTGCTTGGTGTCCAATACAGCATGTAGCTGCCATGGCAACCAATGGGAGTGAGTAGGGATGGGAGAACCCATGATGAACCCATGGACATGAAACCACTTACCTTGGCCTTCCTTTTGCAGATGCATACATGAGAAGTCGATGGGAGGGAGGTGGAGATGGGAAAGGGGTGACGCTGTTTGGATGGGTAGAGGAAGAGGAGGAGAAGGAGGAAGAGGAGGAGGGACAGGCAGAGAGATGGAATAGAGAAGGAGCAGTGAGATCAATCATTCATAATTTCACACAGCAACATTCATACGATATACAGAGGTGCTAAAGGCTGAGGTTTTCTTACAAAGGAGACTTCAAAATGTCATTTTATGCTTTTCTAATGAGGCCAATGAACCAAAAGACTGTGAAGAGATTCACTGAACTGTAAAAAAAAAATCACAACGAGTTGGAACTCGATCCAGGCTGGAAGTCTATCAGGACCACTGCTGACCTTCAAGAAGAACTGATATGTAAAAGGCCAACTTAGGAGGGAGAGTAGGCTGGTCAAAGGCCCTTTTCACAAGAAAAGATCCTGATGTTTACAGAGCTGGAGAACAATTAACAAATGATGACGAAAAATCTAAAGCTTCTCAAATCAAGCAAGGCTGATGGGTTGAAACCGAGACGAAAAGGAAAGGAAGCTGCTGGATTCTCTACCGTCTATGGACATCAGTCTGGTTCTACTGAGTTTTCTATAACTATATATCCTCCACTGTATATAGTGATTGAGGTATTTAGGGGTTAGGGTGGACGTTTGGACACACTACGCTTGTGTGATCTTTGAGAATAGCAACTTTTAAACAGAGCGTGCACAAGCACTGGAAAAAATAGAAATCTAGATAAGTAATTTTTTCTTGAATTGAGGAGGTAAGTGCTTTACCAATGGAACAAGACACTTTACATTTAAAATAAGAAAAAAAACAATTTCATTGTCTTATTTCAAGTCCATATTATCTAATTACCTTATTTTAAGAGTAAAAATCCTTATTCCATTGGCAAATAATAATAATCTTATTTACCTACTCAACTCAAGGGTAAATACATTTAATTTAAGACATTTTGACTTATTTTTAGATCGTTTTTGCAGTGAGAAGAAATGGGCTCGTGCATGCTCTCGCACACGCTTTTCTTTTTTTTTTTTTGTGGAGAGAGCGGATCTTTTAAAAAAGTCGTGAAAATCCTCCACAATACCTTTAAGTTACTTAAAAACAAAGAAGTTCTGAAAAAGAGCAGCAGATAAAAACTTTTAAAGTTTTCTACCATAGTATCACTCCAGAGAGAAGCGGCTGAAAGCACAAACTTCACGTAAACCTAAACTAACTTGTTTGGGTTTTAGTGAATGTTTGTTTTTTTATATCGACTTTGCTCAGTTGTGTTGAACTTGTCAGACAACATCATTGTTTTTGCCAACAAAGGAGAGCAGCAGCTTCGGCTCCAGGCACTGAGAGGGAGGGAGCGTCCTTCTGCCCCTAATAGATGATCTTCTGAATAGAACAAATGGTTCAGTAAAAAGTCTCAATGAGATGTGAGGTAACTAACATTGGAGAAGAGAGAAAAAGCCTGCAGGACAAAGCCAATTAAGGCCAGGAGAATTCAATTTAAAATAATATAAATTAAGGACAAAAGGAACAAACAGAGACTTTAGTGCAGGAAGGATCCAAAGAAATCCATTACTGGATCACTGAGCTTATCTTTACCTTCCCCTAACAAAAACCCCTGTTCAGCTCTGCATTCATCATGTCTAGTTGCACATAGAGAAGTGAAGGAGAGTGGAAGAGGAGCACGGCGGTTTGAAGAGACCAAGACTTCAATTCACAAATTAGACGTCAACACCAGACCTGATTTATTTCAACCAATTCCAGATTTAACGAGTTGTTTTAAACCATGAAAGGTGGACAGGATATTTATGCTGTGCTTAACCTGCTGTGATACAGAGACAGGAGGTACATACCCTCCCACTGGTTGTCAGGGAAGAGCTGGAGGTGGGGGCTGTGGCCAGAGTTGGTTTGGCACGCTGACACATGGTTCCTGTTGGTCTCGCTGGTGTTGGCGTTCTGATCGCAGCCAAATGAATCAGAGTCCTGTGAGAGATGCATCAGTTTAATGAGAAACATAGAAAATGCCAACAGAAGGCGCAGAGAGAACAAATCAATAAATAATAGAGGCGCAGTTTGACTACTTACACAGTTTATGGAGACGGTCTGCTCCATAGCGTCCAGTGGCTGATTGTCCTGCCTGATGGATCGTGTAAAGACAAGGTTTAAAAATCTACTTTCAAATAAAATAAGTCTTAAATAATTGAGGCAGACAATTTAATATCTGCTCTTTGTCAGTTATTCATTCCTGAATAGTGTTGTTCTTCATGCGATGAGCCCTTATTTAACAGAAGCTCAGGCAGAGTGTTTAATGAACTCCATTAAACACTCCAGCTGAGGAAGAATCACTCTACAGTTACATCGATAAAAAAAACTCCAGTATTAAATGACCTGTGGGAAACATTGTTCCACAAAAACAAGCTGTGATGATGAGCTAAATGAGCTGTAATCTAGAACATCAGAAGATCGGCTTTCACAGGCACCTCCTGTGTCGTTCCTGGAGAGCAGCTCACCTGGCAGTGTTAAAGTTCTCCTCAGCATCCATGACAGCCTCTGAATCCAGCTCCATCCAGGTGCTTTCCTCCAAGTCTGCAGCAGCATCCATGGAAGCCTGGGAGAAAACATGTCAAACGTTCAACAATAAAGCTTTCCAAGCTGTTAAGTGAGACAAGAAGTTAAGAAAAGAAAGCAAACTATAGTGAGAGTATAAAACAGGTGAATTCCAGTTCAGACTGTGATGTTTCACTCCCTTCTGCCTGGCATGGCTCTCAGCTGTGGTGCTTTCCCTTTATTTTAACATGAACTGATAGTGAAATAAGCCGCCTCTCCCACATTTATTTGGAAATGTCTGCAGTAAATAACATTTTTTAAGAGAGAAAAAAAAACAACTCAGAGGAAGGGGAGTTTTACAATTTATACTATATATATATATATATATATATATATATATATATATATATAAAAAAAAAAAAACTCACCAAGAACAATCTATTCTGGAGCATTAAACATAATCCGGTATGTTAGCCAGTGGAGCTAATCATAGGTTTGTCAGAAAAGAACCGGTATTAAACCACAAGAGGTGGTGATGTTTGAATCGTTGCTTCTGCTGCATGTGTAATCCTTTCAACTATTCTCTGATCCAGGCTGAAGCAGGAGGATTGACCAGCTCAGAAACATACACGCTTTTTCATTTTCAAATAGCAGACCCTCCCCGATTTACATTTTTAGTTTATAGACATTTTCATAGGTCTTTGGATATTTGAGTTCAATTATGCTGTTGGTTTTTATAATTCTATTATTAGATACATTAGGTTAGTTTTCTGCCTTTGGAGCATCTAAACCTTGACAAGCTGGTTAAAAGCTGATTATTTCTCAAATCTAGAACAGAATATTAGACAGGTAATCTAGCTTCTAGAAGGCAAAGCTCTGGATCCTTTTTGAGCATCAAAATCAGTTCCAGTTTAAGAACATGAGACGGTCTGGGTCATCTTTTAAAGTGTTTGATAAGTGACTCAAACAGATCCTAACTGGACAAAAAACTATATTTCAATGTCACAGAGAAAAGTCCTAAATATATTTAGAAATCTTTATTTGTACCTTAAAACTAAATAAGGAGACAAGAATGCTGTTTCCACATGTTTTCAGACTCCCTGACTGAGGTTTAAAGGGATAAAACCACAAAAAGGTTTTGATCACCTGTGGCTTCGAGCCATTTAACCTGCACACAATGTGACTTCAAATAAAGAATTTGGCCTTAAATCTCTGAGGGAGGACATGACATACAAGCAGCCCAGCTGAGACAAATTATGCTTCCAAGCTAGGATCCAAATGTTTCTAGAAACTATTTAAACTGTGGAGTCAAGGACATGAGGTGAACTTGTGTAGTCTGGATGGGCAGTAGCTGTAGAAAGTGTGCAATGCTTTGGCTAAGCCTCAGATAAAGCTTTTCAGCGTGTGAGAAACATGTTGCTCTCTCTGTAGCAAACTATGCAGAGTTAAAGACAAACTGTGCTGATCATATCAAACCAGCAGCCTTGCAGCGAACCAAGAAAATATCCAATTATGGGAAATGAGCTGCAGGCTCACACAGAAACCTGCCTTTTTTTCTGAGTTTTTTTTTTTTACTTTGCATGGGGAACCTTTGTGCTGTGTGTGTTTGTGGAATCATTTATTTTCAATTGGAGTCCAGATGAGACTTCCTGTTTTTGGATGAAACTGATGTGGTTTTGTTTCTGTGGCTGGGTGTGGGAACAGGACCTCTATGACTGATCCACCGTGTTTATCTCTAACTGACCTCTGGCTCTCTCTGACTTTGTTGTCTCTGTTGCTCCGTCTGTTCATGCGGGGTCTCCCTGTCTATTTTGCAGGGACTTTCCTCGGGGTCGGTTTGTTCCTCTTCGTTGTCATGGCAACCCGATTCTTCAGGCTCAGAGGGACTCATCCTGTGAATAAAAACATGAAACTATTAAATCTGCTGACTTGCGAACAAAAGAGGAAGACATCAGTTCACAATAAAACTTTATTTCATGTCTCTTATTTTAAACAGGTGAATGAGTCAAAAGCTGCTGCCTTTAACATGGAGCTTCCTCACTGGGATCGGTTCTGGTTATTTTTAACTGAACCATCTGCTCAGCTCACTTTATCGAATAACATTTAATGACACTTTATATCAATCACACAAAAAGGGTCAAAGTTCTGTTGTTTGATCTGGTTCCAGTCAGACTTTTTCATTCACTTATAATGGGTATAAATGTCAGGCCTCTGATCTACGAATACAGCTCCTTCATATGGCACTGCTAGCATCTGTTAGCGACTCGTTATCTTCAGCAGCAACATGGCAGAAGTATTTGAAAATTTGGTGATGATGCAAGTGAGGCAGCAGCATCATCATCTTCTCCGGTGCAAGTAGGTGAGGTACCAAAAACTGGTACCATTGAGTACTGACACAGATTCCCAGGTATCTGTACTGTATCACAACAAACTGCAATGGTACGCATCCCTAATCCACAGGGATGTGAGGTGAGTTATCCGATCTGATGATAATGAAATTTGCAAATGTTAATGAACTGATCCCAACTTCAAGACGGTTTATGTCTTGATGAATTCAATGACTGCAGAAAAACTTGTCCATCCAGATCAAAATCCTAAAAATTCTGTTTTCAATAGATCGTATGATAGTAGAGGTTCACTCTTACCCCTGGCTTTCATAGACACTGAGGTCCTGGGTGATGGAGGTTTTCAGCTCAAAGAAGTGCTGCTCCACTGCAGCCCTGATGGTTCTCTGAATTATCCTGAAAAACACAGTGAGATGTGCTTAATTAAATATTTTTGTATTTCTAATGTATTTCTAAAACCTTTAGATTTCCTCAAAGATCGTGTATGTTCAGTTTTTACACAACGGTTTTATTTATATATAAGGCTTTTTTTTTTTTTTTAGAACAAGAGTTAAAACTGTATGCGTGTGATACCATCTCATAGATGAGCTTTAATTTGACTTTGTTATTAATCTTCTCAGAAAATGTTACATAAAAAGTTTAAAACATAAAAAATTACAGAGAGGAATTCTTGAATATCTCCATGATAAAAGTGAACTGATTTCAAACTAGATAAATGTTTTTTGAAAACAAAAACAGAAATACTGCATCAAAAATGAACGCTCTGCGTTTAGAACGAGGTGGGTATTTCAGAGCCAAACTTCACTGGACTCTTTATATCAGGGTCCAAGTCACTCTACTGCACTACAAGTAATTAACTGGGTTCTACAGAACTGGGCCTACAGATGTTTGGTGTTAGATAAACTGAATATTATTTAAAAATCCTGCTTAAAACCTTCTGATCTCAGTATAATTTACCATTAAAGGTCATTCTCTGAGTTGGATAAACCGCAGAATCATGGCAACATGGTTTTTTCAACTTCAGTATAAATCAGGACAGCTGCTGGATCAGGACGGTTTTGGATATTTGTCTTCAGGCAGATACTGAAGCTGCACACCTTTAAACAATCAGCTCAGAAACTAAAAGATAAACCCCTTATCCATGATAAAACCAAGTAGGGAAGATTTGCTGCAGCTCGTAAACGACTGTAATATATCCCAGAACTCATCTTCAGCTAAATGTTTTATTTCTACTCTCAGCTATTAATCACATCCAGGTCCAGTTCAACAAAGATCATAAGAAATAATCAAACTAAGAACTGAGGAGAACAGAGATACTGTTAGAGCCTATAAAAGGTAAAAAAGCAGTCAAACGAAGATGATGATGATGTATGCTTCCTCCATTTCCTTTGCCATTAGCAGTCTGTTGACCGTCTATTCCAGCATTTGCCACATAAATGATGAAGGCTTGGTAGAAATGGTAAAAAGCTTTTCTCAGTTTTATGCTTGGAATCTGGATTAAAACCTTTCTAGTGCCTCCTCATAAATACAGTTTGTTTGCATTCTAAAAAGTTAAAATGCATTATTAACAGCCCAACATTAATGCTAATAATATGAGGTTGATGATGTCTGTAACTTTCCAGCAGAATCTAAGGGCATCAACACATCGGACCCTTTTCTGATAAAACTGCAGTCAACTGAATATTTCACAGACTAATTCTGGTTCTTTTTTTTCTTTCAAAATCTCATAATGCAGATGTGTTCGTTTTGTTACAAATATTTCATCTTTAGCTTGTGTTCAGTAAACTTAAGTAAAGGCTTTTTCCATTCTGTTCCAGTACCATCAATTGAAGAATCTGTCTGACGGTCATGTGATTTAATCTCCCTGAGGCACCAAAAGCAAAAGCTGTTCAAAATGCTTTAGTTATGCTTAGCAATCAAACACCAGGCCGACTCCTTATCTATTCTTTTCAAACATGTGTTTTCTTCTGGAAATCCGCTCAGCTAAAAGCTGCCAGGCCGTCTGCCTTTTTCCATTTGGTCTGTTAAAGAGATGGTTCAATACCACAATGTATATAACACTATAGATCCCTCCTCATCACACAGAAGCCTACTGGCTTGAGTCCTAAAGAGTGTGTGCATTCTTTAAATCTCAGAAACTTAGCATTGCATCGGGACACTGTGTGCAATAATGTGTGAGCAAATAAAGAGTGGCCTTACTCAGCAGAGTCAGCAGGCAGGATGGACATGGGGGAGAGGTGGGAGCTGCAGAGAAGAAACAGACAGAGGGTTAGAATGTTATGTTCACCTCGACTCCATCTTCATGCTAAAGGACAACCTTGGATGGAAAGCATCAAAACGTGGAGGAGCAAGAATCATTGATAAATCTGGGAAATAATTACAATCCAGTTTAAAAATAAACTCAAGTCAGGCGGCTCTTGGACTAACGGAGGGAAGATGGACTGCCACGCATGGACTGTAATAGGTGTACTGCTTGCTCTGGGTGTATTTAGGCTACAGAGTTCTGATGGATCCACTCATCCCATAAAAGAGTGCGTGTTGAGCTGCAGTTGCTCCTCGGAAAGCTGGGATGTGTGCGTTTGTGTGTGAGGTGGTCAGACTGAGTTTAGAAAAATAACCGCTAACCTTATTCAACCTTAGGGGGCGTGACTCTAAGACAGGAACACAGACAGCAGCAAGAAGTGTTCAGATGAATCAATGAGCTCTGAATTATTAAACGACAGATAACAGCATCACTTCATCTCATCCCTAAACCGCCTTTCATATAAATTTATATTGGTTTTACTAAAACCTTTTTTTTCTTGCATCTTTCATAAACTCGTCTTCGTGATTCAAACCACTGCAGCCTCCTTCTTCTATTTTCTGTGTAATCTCCGCTCCTTTTATTCCTGCAGACTGTGAACAGAACCATCCCCATTCTCTCTGCATGATGTAACCTGACTAAGCGTGGCACAGATATTTTGTTTGTTTATCCTCCAGTTCTTTCATGACTAGACTGGGTTTCCATCAAGTAAACCTGCCGTCTCCTCTCTCTTCCTGTTGATCAACATGCTGAGCTGTCCTTTGAACAGAAATGCAGCCTGGAGACTCCCCGCAGCACCAGCTGTCCCTTCCATGTGCTTCGAAGCATGGACGTACCCTCAGGGTCTGGATCTCTAACAATAGATCGCCTTCAGGATGTTACATAATTGCCATGGGCTCTTAGTAGGGGTGATAAGATCTAATCTTACACCATCATTCCCCTGTGAATTTTGGAAAAAGGCTGTTTCTGCCTTTTTGCGCCTCCCTGAGCAGCAAACATCACAGCCAGCCGCCTCGTTTTAGAATTATGCAACACAGAGACATGAGAGGCCCGTTTGCTGTAGAGGAGACAGAGGGGCCAATCAAATCACTTAGAAATGGTTTCAAAGATTAAGATGAAGAAAAAAAAGAAAACGGCTTCCTTTTACTTATTAGGCAATGATCCTTTGCACTTGTTGTATGCCACTAAAGTAAAGAGCTCTGTGTTACTACAGGTTTATTAAGCAGTCTGGCTCTAAAATCAGTAACGATTCTTTTAAAATACTTTACTAACCATTCATTTTAGGTAATTGGTTTAATTTCTTTTTATTTTACTGTTGTGTACAGAATAATGTTTTAAAGCTCTATTTTAATACAGTTGGACTGAAATGGTACGACCTGTGAAACACTTAAATTCAAACTTAACACTGATAAATGGAACAAGCAATTTATCTAGTAACAGGACTGTAGGAGCTTAGCCACGGTCTGTGCTGATGTTACAATGGATGAATCCTTGGAATAATTTTCTCTCAATCGGCTCCAACCTGGAATCTTTAGGATACGCCCTGATAAATGCATAAAAACACGATTCAAAACGTCTGTAAAAAAAAAAAAAAAAAAAAAAAAAAAAAGCTGAGTCATTGCTTTCTTCAGTAACATGTAGGGTGAAAAAACAGTTTCCTTTTCCTGATAGAAAGTAGAATAATTGTTGTGAAAGAGCAGCCTTAGTGAGAGTCTGAGTATGGCAGCAGGAAGTTTGATTTGGGATTCTGTGGAAGTGCTGACTGTTCAGCTTTGGCTGGAAGGGAACAGACTGCAGCAGACTACGCAGTCACCCAAACACACCAGAACCCAGAGGACCAGGCTCACTGCTCCCATTCGCTACACAATTCCAATGTAAATATGTTCGCTCTTAATAAAAACAAGCATATGGAGATTTCTTTTTGAGCTTTAGCCCAAAATTTATTATCAACATTTTTAATCCTACAATCAGGCTTGGTTAGCCTGTCTGATCATCCCAACCACATCTCTTCACCTTTATTGACAAGTTCCAACACAAGGCTATTTTGGCTCGGACTATGCTTAACTAAATGTTCATTTTTCCCTTTTCATCCTAACCTGGAGGTGAGAAACCAAAAATCACCTGCACAATTAAGTCATCAACAATGCTTACCTTTTAATAAATATTTGAAAACCATAAGGTTTGTGCCAAGAAACAGAGAAACCTGTTTGTTTGGTTCGATCTTGTGTAAAATAAATAAAGTTCTAACCATCATATCCTTGTTTGGACACCAGTTTCCATCCTGAAAATGTAAGATAATCTCTCCTGAAATATATCTTCCTATGAGGTTCTAGCTTTTTATTTTTAGGAAGATTTTAAATGTTTGTTTTTTTACTCAGTAAAATACCAAAAGCTTAGGAATTTATTCACTAAAGGCTTTTCTAGAATAAGGTGAATTTGATCAATTTAAATGATTTAACAAACAGTCTGCTGCTTGACTTATCATTAGGATTGCATAACATTGAGCTAACTGTTGAGTGAAGAACACAAACAATCAAACAAGCTATTTTTTTTCCTTCTTTTCTTTACTAGCTCACCCTTTCTTTTCAGAATCAACCAACTTTTAGCTTTCCCTCTGAGGAAACTAAGCAACACTGACGGCATGATCCAACTTCCAACCACATACTTGTTTCAGACTCATTCATTCATTCATTCATTCATTCATTCATTCATTCATTCATTCATTCATTCATCCATCCATCCATACATCCATCCTTTTCTTCCAGCCAGACTTCATAGGTTACATAAAGCTGATGTTTACCTCTGCAGCAGAATATCACAGGCCATCCTCATGGTTCCAGCTGTGTTTTCTCTCTGTCTGATCTGCCCTATTTAATGCCAGCACCGGGTCCACCCTGTAGGTGTGTCAGAGTCTAGGCTTGGCTTGTGTGTCTGGTTCTGGAAGTTTCTGTCTCCTTTTTTCAGATCTTCAGCCTCAAGAGTGCTGACCAGTTGGGGCAAAGGTGATAAAAGTCCATAAGAATGTCAATTTCTATTCTTTTAAACATCCAGCAAAGATTAGAGCTTCAGTTTCAGTTAAATTTGACCCTCTCTCTGTCTCTCTCTCTGTGGCAGTCGGGGACTTGCTCCACCTCCAGCAGGAGCAGCATCTAGCTTCGTAGCTCAGTGTGCCTAAACTCTGAGCTCCTTCTCCTTCGATATGTGGCTGGGTTGTCGGCAGTTATCCCAGCTGAGCACTTTGAAGCGTCAGAACAAGCAGCAGAGTCAGAACATCAACTGGGAGCATTATGTGATGTCCTCCAAAGCCGTCCTTGTGCTGCCTTAGTGTGTGTGGGAGCGAGTCAGGTCGCTTCACTCTGCACTCTGGAAGCGCTGCAGTAAACAGCCAGCGCTCTGCTCAAATATATGAGCTTCTGATGTAACCATGCAACAACCTCAGCAGGACCAATGGGATGGGAGAGGCTGGAGTCAGGAGCCAATCGTAGTGAGAGAAGGAGCAGTGTGGGCCAGTTTGGGAGGGGGGAGGTCATCTCATCAAAGAGGAGTATAAACTCTGCAGTTAATGCAGTGGCCCACTGGGCCTCTAACACACAAAATACACATTACAACACAACCAAACACACCTTATCTGCTGGGTCATCTTCCTGAGTTTTTGGGGTAACTGCTTATCAAAATATTAAGAGATTTAGCAAATAACAGGCCATCCAGGGACACAGGCAGTAACAACAAGAGAAGATTACTGGAACAAAGGGAGGAAGGAAGACGATGATATAAACAGAAAAATCTCTCTGTTTGGTAAATATGACGGGCAGCCGGCTCTGCTGTTCTAGATTTCTATTGCCTTTATTTTTAGAGTTGTTTTGTTTTAGCTGGGAGTCGTCGCTGAGTCACTTTTAACTCTGATTCATCTAAACATAAAAACTTTGCCCCAAACGGCAAAACTACTTTTAAAAACAGCCATATTTCACATTTACAGCATGTAATTAAAAAAAACAATAAAAATACTTTTTTTTTTTTTTTAGATTAATGGGCAAACTCCACAACAACAAAACACTAACCTTACTAATTATCTACTAAGAAACCACTGTGTGATCAGAAAGAATAAAAAATAAGGTTGATTCCAGCTGTGAGTAAACACAAAGCTCTATTGAACGTACCTACTATTACAGGTGGTCTGTATTAACATTATTTAGTTAGAAAAAGTTTAATGTGCTTAAAACAGGAAGAGTTGAAACTCATAACATGTTAAAACAGACTGACATGAGGTAAGATGTGTGTATGTGTGAGCACAGATATGAGTCTAAACATCTGATTAAACCTTTATGTTCATAAAGTTTTTTGCCTGTCATCTCATCATTACCATCAGAGGCCAAGCCCCTTTAAAACCAATTATCTCACAGGGGGTCCGAACCCAAACCCGCTTATTGAATTGAAACATTACCAACCCTAATACCCTCCTTCACTAAGACCTTTTGTAACAAACATTCCTCATCACTGAAACTTTTCTCCATGCAGACAGTCCTGGAAGTGCAGGACAGTTCTGATAAATGAAAGGAGACCAGCATAAAAACACAGAACCACCTGCAGACTGCAGCTACACGGTTCTGTCCAGAACTATGCCAACAGATATAAAATAAATTGCACTATTTCAGAGAAATTCCTAAGGAAACTGTGTCATTTTCAAATGACTGACGTTGACAGAAATATTTTTTTGTCAAAGTCATTGAATATTGACCAATGTTTCATGTGATTTAGCCAAAAATCTCAATTAAATCTGCAGTATTTGTTTGGCTCCAGAGTGTCGTCGTTTGAGAGGCCTCCAATGTTTTTTTGTCCCAGACTCCATTGTTGTCTGGAAAAGTTCTTACTTCTAATTCACATGTGTGGTTCTGCATGCTAGCTGAAGCTCTTTTCCATTTCTGTGTTAGCAAGCCCACTTAAA